AAGCAACTTTTCATGTCCTAAGATAACCTTTCATTAATCATGTATTTACATAACTTCCATTTATGGGACAGGTACTCCAGCTAGTATATAACATACTGTTATGTGATAATATACTTATTGCCCCATCCAATCATATTTAAATGTTCTTTATAAATATTTTCAAAGCTATGTTTCATTATGAAATAATCAAACCACTAATGTGGGACCATAACATGATGACAACCAAGGCCTTTAAAAAAACTAAAGAAACACCTGAAAATATAATATATTAAAACAACAAATTTTAGGGTTTGAACACCTTTCCCAAGTGGACAAAGCATGAATATAATTAATTATCTTTGTCATTAGATATTAATATTAGGCCTATTATATTTTTAACTCTCCTCAAAATATGCAATTGCTTATGCAAAATTAAAGAATGCAGTTATTAATTTCTGGCACAAAAATGTGTGAATAGTTACCCAAATAAAAATTAAAAACATACAATATAAAAACAAGAAAGAAAAACTAAATTTACACTTTATTTTGCACTTAGCTCTCTCAACACAGACTCAATCAATTTGACCGACCTTGTGACCTCTTTGTACTCGTTTAAAGTCTTTATAGATTTATTACTTCTAACTTTCAATATTGTGTGTATATCTTCACAAAATTTGGCAGTCTTTCAATTAATATTATAAATCTCTCATATACAAAAACTCATATTCTTAATGAAGTACTTTAATAAAATAAAGGTTTGTCCAAGAATATATTCAGTATTTGTTTTGTACAGTTTGTGTGCAAAGTAATTTTCATGTTAAAATTAAAAATACTTTTTCTAATTTCAAAAATCTCAAATTTCCATAAAACCTCCTAAATGCATTTCAAACGTTTTATTGATGTAAAACTTTATAGTTTATCTGTTATTTTCTCTATCCTATCTCAAAACAGAATCGATCAATTTGACCAACCTCGTAACCACCAAAAAAAAAAAAAAAAAAAGCTAAATAAATATAAATTAACCTTTTTTTCTTTATAGAATGACTTCAAATTGTAACATGAAACTACATTCATATATCCTAAGTAGCTCTAAGTCATAACAGTATACAACTATTTACAAATAAATTTTATTGCCCTTTGAACTGCATCTAACTACTATCTGCACCATTATAAGTTGTAAATCACTCAGGGAACGTTCAGCTCATATTACGCTAATGAATTACATTATCCACAAGTTAGTACGAGCTGCTCGCGTGTGTTCCTCTTGAAACATTTTTATTATATTATTATATATTTTACCTAATCTAATCTTAGCAAACCTAAAAAGATCCATATTTTTACATTTTAGTTACTTTTATAATTATACATAAATAATAAAAATGAAAAGCTGCCTGCACGTGTGTGCCTCGTGAAACATTTTTATTATAATATTATTATTATTATATATTTTACCTAATCTAATCTTAGCAAACCTAAAAGGATCCCTATTTTTACATTTTAGTTACTTTTATAATTATACATAAATAATAAAATAAAAAACAAAAAATAAAATACTTAACCAAACTTCTTAGTATCAAGATACCACATGGCCAGGGGGCATGTTCCCATGATGATAACCCTAAGAAAGAACAGGCCATATGTTGGAAGAAGGACAGATTTCTAAATCTCATTGCTGGCCACGTCACAACATACAGCGAACCAGAGATGATTTCTCATTGCATTTCGCTACAGAAGGACTATCTGATGAATAATGGGATTTGACTGTCACATACATCTATCGGGGGGGGGGGGGAAGCTTAAAGAATGTATATCATGTATATACCTCAGCTCCACAGTCTAGCACATTTAACCATCAGATCATGCTTGATCCCACCAGATGTGAAGAGACACTTCCTAAGCCCATATATCAAGATCTATGCATGTAAGTTGGAATTCATTTCACCTTTATTTTATCACAAAAACACTGACTACAACTTTTCAGAAGGTTCAGCAACAGGGTATTCCCAGGAGCATCATCTGAAAATATCAGGTAGGTAAAAGCTTCCAAATTGGGGAGGTGTCCAGGAGAGGACCAAAATTGAAGGTCTGGCATAATTAGATGAATCTATTCCACTTGGAAAAGTGCTGTACTGGGTCAATCAACAACAATCCACCCACCAATGTTCAGGAATTAAAGGCAGTTCTACACCTCAAACATGTTCACCTATAACTCTGGTGTATTGGGAAAAAAGATAGTTGAGATGACTCAAATTTATTAACATTTCATTTGAAATGGATTGGATCGAGGTTTCAAGTGATAAAATGAGTATGAAGAAATTCAGCTAAAACATAAAACAAGAAAAGCCCAGTGCATCAAACTGAAAGTCTTCAAAACAAAAGGTGTGCCAGAACCAATGATATGGTGTGTCCAATGCAGTGTAAAAAGCAACCACAGTCACAGAAATAATGAAAGATTGGAAAAAACATATTTTGATTAAAGAAAATAAATACTTAAGAACAAGGCTACTACAAAACACATTACAAGTGTCAAGAGAAAAACATGAAGAAACAGGATAGTAAAGTAGTGTTACGTATCTGCTTGTTTGTTAATTTCTGGTATAAATTCTTTTCGAGAAACTTCAGCGATACAAGTCCCTTCTTGATTAAACCAGTTAAACATAGTAATTAAACATAGTATTATTGTTCACCACCTATTTGCAGCAGTAATTTTATAATTGCTCATAAAACTCCACTATAACATCAGTTCCACCAATAAATACATTTGAAAATCTCATATATAAAAGTCCACTTATTAAAAATTAAGCACTATCTTTGATATACTTCCTTAGCTTACAACTACAATGTAAATCCAGGTTACATTTGTACAAAAAACTTTTTATATAAAATTCTGAGTAGCTAGAGCTAATACTTTTACTTATACATGAAAAGTAAAACTTTTGAAACCTTCAAGTTAAGACAAAGATATTGTTTCTTCCATTTTCTTGCCATAATATTTTACAAGTTCGCATCCATGGTAACAGAAAGTTCTTTAACCTGTAAAATTTCCTACTTAAAAGTAGGACTTCATAAGTACGTTCAGAGCTGTAAATGTAAATTCAGAATTGCTGTGTTATTTCACAATAACTCAATCTTACCACTTTTCTTAGTTACAGGTCAAGTCTTTTTGAGATAGATAATAATCAAATTTTATAACATTATCATCATATTTTAGACAAAAAAGTGCAATTAATATCTGAAAGTTGTAAAATAGTAATACAAAAAATTTCACTTTCTGATTTTATTGAATGATACTGTTTATAAACAAAAAATCAGACTGGTTTCTACAGTCTCTCTATAAAAAAATAATTTAAAAACCAAATAATAAAAAATAATGGTTCTAACCCATAGTTACTAATGTTATAGTATTTCTCCTAATTAGAAGATATTTTAAACTTTCCTTACCTTTGGTAAAAAGGATGTTTCAACAGTACTTTGACATCACCAAAAGACAAGTTTCAGACATTTTATGTGCTCAGTATTAATTCACTCAAACTCTAGTTTCCAATGAGAAATCACTCCACATTTATAAACGCTTTTTCATTATAGTGGGACTTAGATTGTAAACAGAATTTGTCTATAAGTTGCTATTTGTTTTTAAGGGGTACCCAATTATCTTATGAACAATATGAAGTTTTGAAACAGCTATTTATGGGATAACATATTTATTTCTGTACAGCAATTTTGTCTCTAACAGTAAGACATGATCATGTACAACACTTCTTGTACCTTAAATGCTGTACTTGATCATGTTTCATTGTTAAAGACAAAACTTGTATAGAAATAAATCTATTATATTGCAGTTTTAAAACTTCACATTATCTGTAAGTCATCCATGGATAAGTATATTACCAATGGATGATAGTTTCTTAGCAAATACAAACATGCCTTTTGGGAATTGATAAATGTCTTGTCTACAGGCAAGTTTCTTCACAGCAGCACAGAAATTAAATTTTAACTTATTCTTTACAAATTACACTAAAATAAATGTTATAAAATGAAAAAATAACAATTATAAAATATTTTGAAGTAAAATATTGTTGAAGCAGGATTAGTTATTACTTTTATTAAATTTTATATGTAGGTATGCACTCAACGCCTGAAAAAGTGCACACTGATCAGGACAGGGTTAATTTCTTGAGTGCTTTTTAAACCAAATTAGCATGACATGTACTTATTTTGCCTTCCAATAAATAATGCATCAATCATTCAGAAGTATCAAAATATTAATTTGTTACTTACCAGTGGTAATACTTAAAACGAGGTCTCCAGTTTGGGGTTCTAAGTAGACTCTGCAGTGTGCATGCCAGATTCACAAACATGTAACACATAAGAAAAAACCTACCCAAAAGGAACAAAACAGGAATCTGTCAGATTTAGACTAATTTTACAGGTATGAATAAAATACCTTTAAAGGTACCATGAAACAAACACATAAAAAGTTATATCCGTCTGAAATAAAAGATGAATTCAATATTAGAAATATACACTATATAGATACAAACTGTCAAGATACAGAAATCAACCAGTTATATCATTTAACCTAGGAGAAATTTATAAATTTTTAGAATTAGTATGAATTTCAAACTGGTACTTACCTCTGAAATACTGAACTCCTTTATGTGTTGAGTTTGAATCCATGTTGTCAATAAAACATGACAGAAGTATATGTGACTTGTGAGAGTCCTAACTATTTTTTTAAACATAAACAGACACACACACTCATATTCACACATATATATATATATATATACACACACACACACACAATGTGTGTGTATGTATATTAATTTAAAATATCACTAACCCCAGAC